TCCCAATTATCAATACATCTTCATTGCAGAGGATTTGAAAATATGAAAAGCAGAAAGGAAAAATAATCACCTGAAATTCTACTATTTAAATATAACCTTTCTTATCCTGTTTATATTATTAATCTATGGCTGTGTAACAAATTACCCACCCCCCTAAACTTAGCGGCTCTACGTCAGCAAACATTCTTTAGCTCGTAGTTTTTGAAGGTCAGGAATCCAGGAGCGGCTTAACCGAGTGGTTCTTGCTCAGATTCACTCACGAGGTTGTAATCAAGTTATTGGCCAGGGTTGCAGTCATTTCAATAAGTCCTAATTGGGAAAGAAAAGTCTACTTCCAAGTTCACTCACTGGGTTGTTGGCAGCCCTCCGTTCTTCCCTGGCTGCTGGCCGAAGGCAGCACTTCCTCACCATATAGGCCTCTTGCTACGTGGCATCTTGCCTGAGCAAGTGATCTAAGAGATAGATCCAGACAGAAATCACACAGCCTTTTACAACCCAAGCTCAAAAGAGACAGGCCGTCACTTGTACCAAACAGCTGGATCCTGAAACAGTGTGGGAGGGGACTACACAGAAGCGGAGGTAGGGATGATTGTGAACCACCTTGGAGAATAGTATCAAAATGAGATGTTTCTTTCTGGTCTTTTGGGGGTACATTTTTATATACTATTGCTCCACCAAATAATATAACTAAAACATTTTCTATATTATTAAAACATCTCATAATATTGTTTTAGTGGTTAGATCATAATATATATTGTTGACTTTTTATATTGTTTCCAAATATGCACTATTATAAATAATTCTATGATAAACAGCTTTTGCATGGAGTTTTTCCATCTGTACTTCAGAAACTTTCTCTTGGATTGCAATCTAGCTTTGGGACTAATTCAAAAAGCCTTAACACAAGTTCCCAAATTGCTTTCCAAATGGATGGTATCAGCTTAACTCTCAGAGGGATCTAGCAGTGCCTGTTTCACTGCTCCTTTATCTGGGGACTTTCATGGTTTTAGAAGCTAATAGTATTAGTTTTTTGTTTTCTATTTTCCTGTTAGTTTCCCTGTTTCTTGATTTCTTACATCACTAGCTCTGCTTTTAAACATGTTACCCTCATTGTATGTGTGTGGATACATGTGTGCATATGTGTGTTTTCTTGGAAGAGAGGGAGCGAGAAAAAGAGATAGAGACAGAATTAGTGAGAAATGTTTTCCTGACTTAACAGGAAAAAGAATCAGAAGTGTGTGTGCAGTGGGGGAAGAATTTAGAGAGGAGGTAAGATGTAACTGAGAAAGTAGTGCCCAGTGCTCTACTTAAGGAGGCCAGAGTGCTGATGCAAAAGAGCTTGCACCCTTATGAGGCAGGAAAAGGTGCCTGGTGGGGCAAAGAGTTTGGGGAGTGCAGTTTCCTATGACTGTCCCCAGGGCACCCTGCTAGCCCAGGATAACATTCTTTCCTCACTGGAGTGTTAGAGAGGCTGATGAAGAGGGAAACATTTGAATCCCTTCTAAACTCAGAATATTTATGTTCTCTTCCTTTCTTTTCCGTTCTTTTTACTTTCTTTTGCTTTTCCTTTCTTTTCAGTTCTGGTCTGTTATAGAATTCTTTTCCAGTAGTGAAATCATGACAAATTTGAAGTTAATTTTTTCATAAAAATGCATTCCATGCTTAAGAGTAATATGAGATAATTCAAGTGATTGCCTGATACATTTTCACTGTTGTTAAACCCTCCATTGCTTATGATATAAACATGTTTTTACCACAACTTTCCAGTTTTGTCTAAGATTAGAAGTTTCCTGAGGCTGTTATGTGTTTATAAATTTTTGATTAAGGGATGTATTCTTATATTTATTTCTTAAATTTTCATCACAAACAAAAAATAGCCTTAAGAAATATATTTCCTTGGTTTCATTGTTTTCTTTATATACCCCTATCTTATGCTGTATTGAAATTTATGTTTTATTAAAATAAATTTTTATGTATCTTATATCTCTGATGAATATAAGCTCTGGGCCGAGACCTAATCTTACATATCTTTAGTTCTCAGAATACCTACCACAGTGCTTAATATATAAATATTTGTTGAGCCATTAAATAATGCAATTGGGAATTTGAATGTCAGGGTGAATATACTTTTATATCTGTCTGCTAAGTTCTTTCATATAAAAATAATGAAAATCTTCAGTTATTACTATTTTAGCCAAATGATTGGGTAGCAAAGTAGACTTGAAGATTTGCTGAAAATGATACATAGCTAAAAATATATCTGACAAAGTCTGACAGAATATATTTAACATTGAAAATCCATTTGTCTGGGGCATTCATTCATTCATTCACTCCAAAAAAATTATTAACTATCTCATACTTGCCAGACATATTTGCTGTATCAGACTAGAGAATTTAAGATTAAATCCCACTGGCTACAGAGAAGCTTGGCATGATTCTAAGTGACGTATGTTTTAGATATGTTTTAGATAGCAGAGAAGAGGATGAACTGGAACAAAGAGAAACTGAAAATAGGATGGTTATTAGAAAGTTATCAAGAATGACCAAGTAAGAAATGAGGATAGATAGAAGACAGTGGAAGACTAAGTAGGTAGCAGTGAACAGCACCTAACACTGCTTGCATATAAGAAGAAGGAGGTGGCATCTGGCTCTAGGAACTGGGTGGATTAAGGTTTTCTTGGCCATTTTTATCAGATGGCATAAGGCAGAGCTGGCCAAGGAGAGGAAAGGGCAAGTTGGTAGCTTTCCACAATTCAAATGATGCTATCATTAAGCAACTGAATAAACAGATCTAAAGTTTAGAAGAGAAATATCTCTGGGGCATTTTGGAAATTGTCATTGTGAGGTTGGTGATAAATATCATAGCAGAAGGAGGAAAAAGGAGGAGGAGATACAGAAGGAGAATCTGAAGGAGGAGGAGAAAAAGGGGAAGGAGAAGAGAGCAAGTGACAATTTTTATATGATCTGTGACAATTAAGCACTTCAGTACATTGTTTGGGTGAAAACTGCGACGGCTACTGGAGCCATACAGTTATTAAAATAAAATTCTGCACCAATGCAGGATCTTGATATAGTTCTTTTTTTTGCTCATAGATGAAAATATATCAAGGTTATATTTGGTCTCATAGCCTTTATTTCTTAAGAGTATAGTGAAGGCCCCCTAAGAGTGGTTTTTGCCCCCCTAGGAGTCCCTGAAGATTATTAACCCTGAAAAAAAATCATAAACTGTGGTTTCTGTTAGCACCTCTTGCCATCAGTTTTTCTATGATGAATACTTGCAATTAACAGTGACGAACCTCTTTACACTCTTGAAAAAAATCTTGCAGACTCTAATTGACTTTCAAGAGAAACAAGTCATCAGACTTTTTTTCTCCTGTGTATTACAGTGGACATGACATGACAGCTAACCATCTTCAATACTGTACTGACATCCAAAGAAAGGTATCACTGAGCCTTATAGATTTTGATGGATATGAGGAAAACATAAAAAGATAGGGGTTTGTGGCAAAAAATGCCTTCTATGGAGTAAGGAAGAAGGGTTATTGTATGTTTAGAAACATGAAATTGTTCAATAATAATAATCAGAGTTTTATTAACTAGCTCTGTGATCTTGCTCTCATCTCTGGATCTTTGCTTTATGATTTTTAAAATGAAGTGATTGGACTAGAATATCTTGAAGCTTCCTTCAGCTCTAAAATTTCACAGTAACTCAGAGACATACAAACTGTAAGACTAATTTAATTGTAGAAACAACAAGCAAAGGACTCTTGCACCAGGCAATTCAACAGATTTGAATCAATGTTGAAGTAAGTAAATATCAGGGATTGGGCAATTTAACTAATGCTTACTTTTATGCAGACAAGAATATGTCAGAAAAATCTGGGTTCTGTTAATTTAAGCATATGAAATTGTCATTTGTGTGAGTCAAAGTTGGTCAAATATGGACAATTTAGTGTGATTCAGCTTCATATTATTATTTCTAGTGAGTAGCTTACCAGTAAAAACAATTATTACATTTCATTTTAATTATTTTCTGGAAAATAGAAATTTAATAATCAAGTCCCTAACATGGAAAGGGGTCCAACATTATAGATAGTGAAATATTCTGAGATCCTTAAAAAAATAGATGTGCTATAGATATATGCCATTGGATTGGTGTGGGGAAAAGAGTTTTCATTGCTTGATAGAAGCTTTTGAGTCAGCATTGGAATTCTTTATCCAGTAATGGTCCTCTTTCCATATTCCTTTGAATAAAGGCTTACTTGGTACGATTCTATCCCAGAGCAATTGATCTTTGTCTCCAAAGCAAGGTTAACCAGAACTGGAACCTGATTTTAACTGCCTTCCAATCAATTTTTGAAAGACACTCACAGTCAACCTCTTAGCAGAGAAATGCCATGTTTACGTGTTTCAAGATTAGATATACTAACAGAGAATGAAGTTGCATTTAAGAGAGAGTTAAGAGTCTATTATTCACTCCAGGACAAGTGTGGTCCCTAAAGTTGCAGCTCCATTTGCTATCAACAGTCTGTTAGAAGTGAGAGAAGAGGGGAAGGGTGATGGAACTCTGCATCCCACAGCTGATTTGAAAAGGCTTTATCTGGAGGTTGGCAGATGTAGGGTATTATTATTATTTTTTTTTCTTCTTCTGAAGGTGAGATGACTAGAGAATCCAGGTAGAAGCATGGGTTTATGAGCACATATTTGTTCTATAAAAATACAAACAAAAGTATAGTCTGTGATTAAAAAAAATTAGTTGGAAAAGCTCATTAAGATTTATTATAGGTCCCAAATTTTGTAGTCCCAAAGCTTAACGACAGATGGTGGTGTAACTCCACCAATTTTGCAACCTCTACATTTACTTTGACGTTGTAACATAGATAACCCTTGATTTGACTTCGGTGAAACTAAAATTTGCTCTTTTTCCTAAAATGCATCTGGGAGGAGAGTGGGGAATAGGAGAATGTCTAAAAGGAGTCTGTTTATTTGCTTATTTTCAGAAAACTATAGTGGACTTGAAAAATAGGAACCTGATATGTGCCCGTTCTTCTGTGCAAAAAGAAAAATGTTTTACCTTGCATTTAAAGAAGACTGTTGTTACAGGCTATTTGGTGAGTAATACAATTTTGAAGATGATATCTCTAACAAGAAAGAAAAATTTAAAAACCTGTGCCCTTTCCCTTTCTCCCAGCGGTCTCTCCAACAAGACTGTTACATTTTAAGTATTAGTCACAATTACACCAATAAGACGACTCTGAAGAAGAAAAATGTAATTGTTCTTTAACTGAAAGTTTTGGAGAAAACAGACCTAAGTGTGTGAATAATTCTACTCTTACAGCAAATAACTAGAAATCCAAGCGGTTCATTCGGAGAAGCATTTAACCAACGTTTCTAATACGTGTCATTCACGTAAATTGCTTTTCTTCATCCTGGCTTTAGTTGGTTCCATTTGGGGTGATTTGTTTAGCTCAAGATGCGCTGGCAGTGACTATTTCAAACGAATTTATCTTTCACCTGGACCATAATAGAGCAGTGTCTGGGAATTTGTTGATTTGCGGTTTCATTGTAAAATATAGTTGAAATCAAATAAATTTTCGTGAGAGAACTTCGAGGGCCACTTGGTGAAACTCCTCAATTACCCAGTAGCTCCGTTTAACTTTCCCCTGGAACCTCTTTAAACGACTTTTGCAGACCCACGTGCTACAAAGGAGACTTGAGCTGTGGCTACGACCCTGCGCAGCGACTACAGGGACAGAATTTGGCTTCCCCCCTCTCTCTGATATGCAGGCTTTCGTTTCAAGGCTGCCGTAATCCAGTGGGCTGACCAGTGACTTGTGCAAAAGAAAACTATTCGTTCGCTGTTTGCCCTTTCAGCGTTTCCCTCGGCTGCGGAAACCCGGTTTTCCTATTATTATACTTCAACTTTTTTTGGAGTCTGTTAGCACAGAGCGCTAAACCCCGGCCGGCTCTAGCAGCAGCGAGGCGAACAAAGCCTGCAGTGTTCCGGGCCTTACCGGGGCGGGGGTGGTGGGCGAGGGAAAGGAATTGCAAATAAATATATTTTATGACCACCCATCAACAAACTACGTGCCACCGTGGCAGCCCCTGGTAGCCGGGCTGGGTCTGCAGTGTGGCCGGGGGCGGGGGCTGGGAGGGAGGTGACGGTAGAGGGGGGGCGAGCCGCGAGCCCCGGGCCTGAACTTTCACCTCTCGAACCCGGGCCCAGCCCATTGGCTGCGGGCGAGGGGTCCGCCGAGGGCAGCGGCTCCTGGTAGGACCCCCTGTCTCAACTCCCCAGGCGTAGTCCCTGCGGGGAGGGTGGGTGGCCCGAGAAGGGCAGCAGGCGAAGAGGAGATAGATTATGGGGGCGAAATTAAGCGGGGGACGCAAGGGGACTGCAGGCTCAGACCCGCTTAAAAAGACCCCTGGCCAGGGTGCGCGGCCAATTGAGAAAGATGTGCTCCTCCGACTGAGATATCCTTTTGCACCTCCTGGCTCCTGGCTATTTTACTCACAGGAAAGAAACGTCAGTGGCGTGAATTTCACCAAAACATGTCTTTGTGTACAGAAAAGTGAAAGGCTAACTAAATGTTCCTCTCCAAATCTCGAGAGCATAACCCTCTTTCTTTTCTCCTCGTTGGGAACTTGAACTTCTCTTCCAAGTTGTCCAGACTCATTTATAATAAACCTATCCCGCTCACTTCCTCCGGACCCGTAGAGAGAAAGGGAAGTAAGTGGGGTCGGTGTAGCAGAGGAAGAAGAAGAAGGAAAAAAGTGAGGCGCTGTAGACCTTTTGACTGTTCTGTTACCTTTATTCACAAACCCAGTGGAAAGGTATGTCCTTGGCTCTCCAAGGATTTCGACGCCGTTTGCTCTTTTCCAAAATAGTTTCAGGCTAATTCAGAGAAGCCGCTTTTTATTTGGGGTTGCTAATGAAGAATAAACGCAAATTACTTAACATAAAATGATCTCCACCTTTCAAAGGGTAACTTGGGGTCATTTGCGTCTGGTGTTTTGTAATTTAAATGACTTCTGCCTCCTGTCCTCGCTCCCATTTTTAAAAAATTTGGCTCACTAATCAGCTTGCATTTCTAAAAAAGACAATTTTTAAGAGTGGGGACACAATCCATAAGCAGGGCATTTAATTTAAAGACTGCCTGGAGTTTTTTGAACGCTCACAGAAATCCCCGCAATTCAAAGCCCAGCTCTACCTCGTTCCTCGTTCTCCTGGCAGGGACCGTCTTCCCAGAACCAGCCCCGTGGCTTATTGACTTAATTGGTTTCACTAGAAAACCTGACCGTGTGTTTACAGATGTGGGTGCCAGGGCTGCTTCCTCCCCGGGAGAACTGCTGGTTCTGGAGGGAAGAGTTGGTGCCAAGTGTGTGTGTGTGTGTGTGTGAGTTCGCGTCTGCCCTTTAGAGAAAGGGCGCGCTGCTCTTTGAGAAAAAGAAAGACTCAAAGGCAGAAGAAGTTGGTGCTGCTCACCCATCTCCCCAGTCACCACCACCCCTTCTTCTGCCACCAGAGATGTTAAAGTTGGCCGGGAAGAAGACGGGGGCCAGGCTCTGCGTCAGGGCCTCTCGGCTGCAGCTATTTGGAGGAAAGTTTCAGCGCCTTTCGGAATGCCACGCTTCGCGACTGATTTGCGAGGAGAGCGGCGGGCTCCGCGGCGACGCTCTGAGGACGCGGCCGCTGGAGGGTCGCGCGGCCCGCGGGCAAGGGAGGGGCTGGCGGGAGGAACGGCCTCCCCGGAGCGGGTGTGGGGAAGGAGCTACCAGGGAACCCTCTTCGGGCCACGCGTCCCATTCGGGCCCGTCTCGTCCTCCCTCGGCCTTTCCCTTCTCATCCCGTCGGTCTCGCGTGGGCCCGCTGGCCGAGTCCCACCCCATGGACAGGAGCGGGGATCCGGCCGCTGGAGGCTGGGCCCGCGCATCCCCCACGCCGGCGCCTCGGCTTTGAAGTGCGCGCGCGGAACCGGCTCTGGCAGTTCCTTCTTTCCTTTCATTCCAGTTACTTTTGCTCCCCTTAGTCACTGATAGGGCCCGTCTGGAAAGCCTCAGACCCTAAAAGTCTCGGCGGCCCCTTCCTTCCAAGCTCCGCCCTGGCCGGCCCATAGCGCGGCCCCAAGCCGGTGACCCAGGGTGTGCGACCACGAGGAAGCCCAAGAACTCCCGGGCCCAAGTGAGACAGGAGCCACGACAATGAAGAGTGAGAAGGACACTCAGCCTGTCTCCACCCCGGGCCGCAGAGGCACACACCCTGAAAGAAAGGCCAATCAGCGTTTTAACGCACGCTTGGGTCTCCCTGACTACCATGTACTTTAACTCCTTGCCACCGAGGGCTTAGGATCCCTTCGAGGTTTTCTGCACTTCACTTGGAATCCCCTGTTTCATTTGCCAGCAGCTCCGTCTGCTGAGAGGACGTACTTTGGGGACTGCCAAGAAGCAGCAGACACAACTCGGCTTTGCCAATACAGCATACGGTTTTGTTCTCTCCTCCCTCCCCACCCCCTTCCTCGACTCGCCGTCTGGGCCGAGCGCGAGGAGGCGGAGCAGGAGGTGGGGAGAAGAGTGGGGGTGGGGGAAGATCGGGCGCAGAACAAACAAGTTCTCCAGCGAGTTGTTTACATAGCAGGTGGACCTGACGTCAGCCAGGAGGCTCCGCTGCAAATCCGAACAATATTCCGCTCCGTGCTTCCCCCTCCCTTCAAGAAGTTGGGGGACCGAGGGAGATAGGTGGATGGGGGCGACAGACATCCTAACCAGCTGGTTCCAAACCACTTTGAGGATCAACAACAACAATCAACAATAACGAGGCAAAGTAAAACAAAAACAAACAAGTGGCCCAGCAGTACTTTAGAATCCTCGGGGGCGTCCCTTCCCCCACCCTGTCCCTCCGAGAAGAGGCGGCTCCGCTTGCAGTGTGTGTACAGTTTGCATTGCCAACAACACGCGCGCGCGGCCGGGTGCGCGCGCCCGCCAGCGCACACTCACACACATAGACACACACACATACAGACACACACACAGATCCGGGTGGGGGGAGCGGCAGCGCGAGACAGCGCGAGCCTCCGAGAAAGCGCGAGACACGCCGGCGCGTGCAGCTCCGCGGCGGCCGCTGCGCCCCGGCTAGAGCCCCGCGCCACCCG